GAACTCATGGTGACCCCGGGCATGTCAAAGTAGAACTATGCTCCTTAGGGTTTTTAATGGCTAATTTTTCAGAAATCGATCACCAGGTCTTTCTTCCGAGGTGCATCTGGGTGGGCTCACACCTCTAATCTTTCGGTTAACACCCGAGCGCTTTAACTATTTGCACCGCCCAAGGACTCCTAGGCTCATATACCAAAACCAAACCCAACCCATTGCCGTTGATTCAGTTCCGACTCATAGCAACCTTATAGGCTGTTACAGAGACCTGGAAATGTCCATGCCCAGTGTCCTCCCCTCCACTGAAGCATTTCTCAATTTCCTCAACTGAAGGTGAGTTCTCCCACCTCTGAATCCCTGTGTCTCTTTGACTGTATTTATCTTATGTATTTGTCACAGTTGGCTTATATCAGTCGTATTTCTGAGCTTCTCCTGGGGCTCTTCCTATCCCTAGACTACTAGATTGCAACCTTTGTAAGTCCAGGTAATGCTATCATTCTCATACTTAGATTACTTGTTCTTCCTAATGCCTTGAGTCTGTGCACTTGTTCATTCATTCATTCATTTCAATCAGAAAATACCTATTTAGTACAAACATAGGTACTGTTTGTATTTAAGTAGGAAAGGATATTATAAAGTTTGGTGTTGGCCATGCTGTGGATGAACAGGCATTCTTTTCATTTATTTATATATTTATTTATTTAGAGAAGAGGTGGTCATGACTGGGACTTTTTAAAAATTTTTACTATGGTGAAATATGTCTAGCAACACATTTGCCATTTCAGCCACTTTTACGTGTACAATTCAGTGACATTGACCAAAGTTTATGAGTAGTTAACGAGGTCAATGGAGTTATTGCTGATGTGGTTCTGAGTTTCTGTTAAGGATGATGAAAAAATGTGGAAATGAATAGTGGTAATAGTTGCACAACGCGGGAAGTAGTCACTCTTTTTGTGCTGCTGGTGAGATTTTAAAATAATACAACTTTTTTCAGAATGTTACTGTGTATCAAAAAACATTAAGCTCTTCCTTGGCTGCTAATGGAAAGGTTGGCAGTTTGAACCCACCCAGTGGCTCAGCGGGAGAAAGACATGGTGATCTGCTTCCATAAAGATTACAGTCAAGAAAACTCTATGGAGCAGCTGTACTCTGTCACATGGGGTTGCTATGAGTCGGAATCAATCCATTGGCACTCAACAACAACAAATTAAAAACCTTAATGTTATGCCCATTCTTTCACCCATCCATTCTACAATCTAATCATCTGTTCAAAAAAGAGAGCATGTTAGCTGTGTTAGAAATTTTACTACAAAGTGTTCATCAGAGTATTGTTTATGATATTGAAAAACTGGAAACCATACAACTGACCAGTGCTGGAGGCATTATTTAAATAAATTAGATACATACTCCTATGATTGAACACTGTTGAACCATTCATATATTGTTGTATTTTATCTGTTGAACAGTTGTTGACATGGAAAAATGTTCAAAACATTAATTTTAAAAAGCAGGTTATAAACCAGTTTGAGCAGAATACGTCAGTGGCCCCAGAGTTTGGAGGCAGCAGTGTGGTTCAGAGGGCCTGCTATTGCAGAGCAGGCCTGTCGTTTCTGCTTAGATTTGTGTGTTCACTTGAGGGGCTCTGGGGCTGCTGGTAGTGACTGTGGGTAGTGGGGCAGCTAAAGATTGCCAAATTATCCCTTTCTGTGAAAGAGAAAAAAAAAAAAAA